AAAACTTCACCATCGTCGTCTCAATGAGAGGGACGGATGACTATTAAGTTGTAGAGAAAAAAATAATAAAACAATGACAAAATTTTTGGATGATTGAATCATTTATATAAGTATCATTGAGTAAAATCTTTGTAAGTTTCAATTCATGCTTCAGTTTATTCTCTGCTGTTCATTTTGACCTTTATTTCACAGCTGGTATCCTTGTCAACTGTCAGGCTGCACTCCCTCATCCAAACCAAGCTCATCAGCAGCTCGGCCGAAGCTTCCTACATCCTCGGGGGTCTTGAACTCAATGATCATTAAGTCCATTGAAGGTACTAATAGGTTACTTCACTTGCGTTTAGCACCATCGCTGTGTGTCCAAGGTGAAGGGTTTATCCCTCATGGGTTTTGTTGATAACTGAATGGCAGTCATAAGAATGACAGTGTTGGCAATGACAGCATTGTCGGCAGTGACAGCCATGTCAGCAGTTACAGCGGTGTCGGCAGTTACAGCAGTGTCGGCAGTTACAGCGGTGTTGGCAGTTACAGCTGTGTTGGCAGTTACAGCAGTGTCGGCAGTTACAGCTGTGTTGGCAGTTACAGCATTGTCGGCAGTGACAGCGGTGTTGGCAGTTACAGCAGTGTTGGCAGTTACAGTGGTGTCGGCAGTTACAGCAGTGTCGGCAGTTACAGCTGTGTTGGCGGTTACAGCAGTGTTGGCGGTTACAGCAGTGTCGGCAGCTACAGCAGTGTTGGCAGTTTCAGCAGTGTCGGAAGCTACAGCAGGGTGGGCAGTTTCAGCAGTGTCGGCAGTTACAGCAGTGTTGGCATTTACAGCGGTATTGGCAGTTACAGCAGTGTTGGCATTTACAGCGGTATTGGCAGCTACAGGAGTGTTGGCAGATATAGCAGTGTTGGCATTTACAGTAGTGTTGGCGCATTTACAGCAGTGTTGGCAGTTACAGTGGTGTCGGCAGTTACAGCATTGTTGGCATTTACAGCAGTGTTGGCATTTACAGCAGTGTTGGCATTTACAGCAGTATTGGCAGTTAC